CAATTGGTGAGGATCACTTTTGGGCTATTAGAGGAGGTGGAGGGACTAGTTTTGGTCTCATTATCTCATGGAAAGTGAAATTACATGATATTCCAAAAAAGGTAACTGTATTCAACGTGACACGAACGTTGGAACAAAATGCAACTCAACTAATTTACAAATGGCAACATATAGCGGACAAAGTTGATGACAATCTCCTCCTGAGGGTCTTCCTGAAAAGCAATGTTCAATCTCCATTCAAGCCTGGACAAAGGAGTATCCAAGCCATATTCTCTACAATGTTTGTTGGAGGAGTAGATGAACTCCTCCATGAGATGCAAAAGAGCTTCCCGGAACTAGGATTAATGAAAGAAGATTGCATTGAGATGAGTTGGATTGAATCTATAATATTCTTCTATGGCGGTTTCCCTAATGGCACATCACCTGATGCGTTACTAAATTGGAATACCACAAGTAATCTACATATATATTTTAAAGGGAAATCAGACTACGTCCAACACCCAATTTCTATAAAGGGTCTTGAAGGTATATGGAAACTATACAACCAATTGGGCGAAAACACAGGTGTTGAATTACAGGTTAGTCCCTATGGAGGAAAGTTGAGTGACATTTCAGAATCTGAAACACCTTTCCCTCATAGAGCTGGAAATATATTCATGATCGAGTATGCGGTTTATTGGATAAAAATGGAAGATTCTAAGAGAAGCATAGATTGGAGTCAAAAGATCTACACATACTTGGGTAAGTATGTGTCAAAATCTCCTAGAGCTGCTTATTTCAACTATAGAGATCTCGATTTAGGAATGAACAACAAAGGAAACACAAGCTATGAACAAGCAAAAATTTGGGGGGAGAAATATTTCAAGAACAACTTTGATAGATTGGTGAAAGTGAAGACAAAAATTGATCCAACAAATTTCTTTAGGAATGAACAAAGTATTCCTCCTCTATTATCTTAAGCTTAATTAACATGTTTATTGGTGTTTGTGATTATTGTTCTTGAGTGTGTTCAACTTCCTTTGATTATTGATTCTCGCTTAGCTTCTTGGCTTTGCCTATCAGTTTGTGTGACTAGACCTTGAGAAATTAATGGAGAAAATCATGAGCTTACTTGCCATTACTTATCGTATATGTATGTAGTAGCAAATTAAGATATCAACTATTGCTCCATTTTTAAAACTTTTTTTTGTACTAAACGATGTAATATATTATAGCTTGATATGCATCGATATGAGGAAGTGGCAGAGTGTTACTACTACTAGAGCGGGATATATAATACGTATTATAAAATTTACTAGAGCTAATTGACTTTTTTTGCCTAGCAAATAGAGTTCCTATTTTATCTGCTTCTAGTCTCCCAGTTGCACAAACAATGGAGGATCTGCCCATAACAAAAATGAGTTAGCCTTTGATACTCCATTTTAATGTTTGAAACATATTTTTACTTCAATTAACACTAAGCCATAACTTTGGACTTCGTGACACAAAGTCATTTTCAGGAGCAAAAATAGAAGAATCAATAACAATTTTATTTTCAAAATTCAACTAAACCACAAAATAAGTAGTACTCAAGACAGGGCCGGCTCTATGTATATTTTAATAAGGCATTGGCCTTAGGCCCCCAATTTCAGGGGGCCTCAATTTTTTACCAAGATAAATTATGTGTTAATTTTTATAGAAAAAATATTGATTATTTACGATTAAAAGTAGTATATATTTAAAATTATTCTTTTATTCTCTTCAACCCCATTCAAATAGAAGAAATCAAGAAAATATTGTTTTATTTTCTTCCACTCTCTACTAATACTCACATTATTTTCTTTTTAACTCCTTTTACACTCTCTTCTTTAAATTGTTGATAAGTTAGAGTAATATTCTGTCAAAAACATCAATTAATAGTCGAAAAGTATTGAACAAATTGAATTAAATTCTTTTTCCATTTCTTCTTATATTTTCAAGCATTACAACAACTATAGTAAAATGTGGGGTAACCAAATTATCAACTTCATCAAAGCTATGGTTCTAACTCTTATATTTATTTGAAATTTGTCAACTTATTACTTGTAGAACTATGTTAACAATTCATAAAATGATTGCCCGAGTAAAATAATATTTTTCAACGTTGAATTAATAAAATCTTATTTATAACTAATAATTGAAAAAGAAATCGAATAAATCATTTAAATATAAAAAAAAATATTAAGTAATACTTTGCATTTAAAAATGTAAGAAAAATAAATTTTAAATAAATGCATGTGAAGTTTATTTAGATTTTAGGCCTCTAATTAAGATTTCGCTTTAGGCCTCCAATTACGTTGAGCCGCCCCTGACTCAAGAATGTAGCTTTTGTATTCTTGAATTAGTGATCTCATCATTTGATTAATGTAACTCAATTTTTATAAAGTATTTTCAAGTGTTTGCCTATTCAAAGAAAAAAAACACTATTTATAGGATAAAAGTTTTTAAAAAAATAAAAATTCCAGTAAGTAGAAGTTATTAATAGGTTCATAAATATTACAAATAAACAAGTAACTTTCAAGAACCTAAAACGCAAAACTAAATGAAGAATGAATTCTTGAAAATTCACATTAGTTTATTTTGGAAATTAATAATTTTTCTCGGAACTGTTTCAAAATTAATTGAAATAATAATTCTTACAATCACTTAGTTTTCAAAAAAAAAAAAATAGCATGAGTTTTTTGACACCTTACGACCATTATCCTACATGTTGGGGTTGCATTTGGATTTGGGAGATCCGGTGGTTTCGATTGTTGTTTGGCTCACGTCAGAGTTACTTTCAAACCCCCTTCGTCTAATAAATACATGATTAAAATTATTATTATTTGTATAAAGAGTAGATATCAAATTCTCCTAGCTAATTCATATGTTAATTACTTCTTTAGATCTTGAACCCCTTTAGTAAAAATTCTGGCTCCACTACTGCCCATCAAAGGGCACTCAAGTTGCAGACAGTATTAGAGTTTTCTTTTCTACACTTTTTTTCTTACACTTATTATCTGCATCAAATTCATGTTATCCCTTCAAATATTTGTAAAGTATGCAAATCTGGGGAAAGAAACTATTTATCACTTCTTTAACATCAATGATCCCTATTGTTACCTCAAGTAACTCTTCACTAAGAGTGATCACACTCACTACATTACTATGCCTACTTCAATTATAATTTTTCCCATTCTATGCCATCTTTGGAAATCTCAAAATAATCGCATCTTTTAGCACAAATATTCCCAACCCAATACTGCAGTAATTCAGAACTTGGCACTAGAATAATATCATATAGGGCTTAACAACAAAAACTGATTGTGCTTTAAACCCTTCTATCCATACTCAAGGAATTGGTGGAGTCTTTCACGATTTTGCAGGAAACTTGATAATTTGTTTTGCAGGAGAATTGAATGCAAATATACCTTTGCAAACAAAAGCATTAATTGGCACTGCTCCACGGCCTACAGCTTGCAATAGCTCATTATTTGACATCACTACAAATCAATATAGATGTTAAAGAGGTTCTTCAACATATCCAAAACACATCTAACTCTCATATGTCATTTTTTGATGATTGTAGGCACCTCCTCAACCACCTTAAAGATCCATCATTTGCACATGTGTACAGCGAGCAAAATGCAGTCGCTGAAAAAATGGCACATTTTGGTTCTTCAATGAATGGTGGCAGCATAAGGATATTTAACCAACCTCCAATTTTTGTTATGGATCTCCTAGAAGCAGGTCAAAGAGGGGTTACAAAATCAAGAATTATAGAACATGCTCCATCCAACACATACACAAATGTTATCGTGATTAGTTCACAATTTTTTTTGTACTAAACGTTTTTGTAATGTCAATAATATAGGTACTATGCTAATCATCCTTCTAGTTCTAAATATAGAATAGATACTAGTACTCACTCTTTGTATCCCACTCATGGGAATCTAGCTTCATGTACACTTTCTCTGATAAATATATATATATATATATATATATATATATATATATATATATATATATATATCTTATTAATTAAACTATGAAATTTTTAAACTAGGAAGCTTTTAAAAGTTGAAACTTTGACTTAGCATTCAACTTTTTGGGCTCTTTTATTGGGTTGGCCAAATCTTCTTCCTTTTTGAGCTTGAATTTGGACACTTGATAAACATATCCATTGAAGTCTGTCAACTTAAGTGCAAGTAGGCCGACATGATTACTATCACTTGGGTTTGAGCTTCTGAAATAGAAAAAAAATGTTGGGAGCTAGTGCCACCATCACAAGTGGGTGACGAGAGGGAGTTGCTCGGATAGTAAGCACCCCTCACTTCCAACCCGAATGTTGCTAGTTCGAGTCACCAAAGGAGCAAAAGGGATGAGAGCTAAAAAAACTATCATAAGTGGGTCATGGAACACGAAATTTGGATTTAATCGAATATCAATGCGGTTACACCCCATAAATGGAACCCGCAGGTGCATGATCCGAATTTCTGAAGATCCATGGAAAAATCGTCCTAAGTTAGTTGTCATATGTCGAAGAAATCCCCTTTTCATCAAGGATGTGTATATATTATCAATAATATTTTCTACTAGCTTACCAAACAACAACTAAAAAAAAGAATGAAGTAAATAGCTACTAATTAATTATTTTTTAAGAAAACATTTTTCAGTTATCTCAATTTAGTGGGACAGGTTTTCATAGTCTTGCAACATATGACAAACAACAGAGGAAATGAATGATTGAATTTTGCACCTAATCTATTTGGTGTCAACAAAATATGAACTTTCGTTGTTTTTTTTTATTATTCCGTTTTAAATTTGAATGTTTAAAAATTATAAGAAAAATACTATAACTTGGCAGAAGTTAATAGATGAAACTATCATGCACTATTTTTTCTGGATATATCATACCTCCATTTAATACATAAAAGCCTTATATTATGAAACCGGTAATATAATGGCTTCGCAATAAACTGCATAAATTACTACTAATCAAATTAAGATAATAGAGGAGGAATACTTTGTTCATTCCTAAAGAAATTTGTTGGATCAATTTTTGTCTTAACTTTCACCAATCTATCAAAGTTGTTCTTGAAATATTTCACTCCCCAAGCTCTTGCTTGTTCATAGCTTGTGTTTCTTTTATTGTTCACTCCTAAATCAAGATCTCTATAGTTGAAATAAGCAGCTCTTGGAGATTTTGACACATACTTAGCCATGTATCGATAAAGTTTTCGATTCCAAGCTATGTTTCTCTTAGAATTTTCAATATTCCCCCAATTCACACCATAATGTATCATAAATATATTTCCGGCTCTATGAGGGAAAGGAGTTTCAGATTCTAATTTCTCACTCAACTTTCCTCCCCAAGGACTAAATTCTAACATGGCGTTCGAGTTTTTGATTGATGATAATTGGTTGAGTAGTTTCCATATACCTTCAAGACCATTTATAGAAATTGGGTGTTGCACGTAGTCTGATTTCCCTTTGAAGAATCCTACATTATAAGTTGAGCTATTCCAATGTAGTAGCACATCAGGTGATGTGCCCCTAGGGAGACTGTTAAAGAAGAGTATCGATTCGATCCAACCCATTTCAATGCAATCTTTCTTCACTAACCCTAGTTCCGGGAACCTATCTTGCATTTCATGGAGGAGATCATCGACTCCTCCAATGAACATTGTAAAGAAGAAGGCGTGGACAGTCTTTATCCCATGGCTGAGTTGAGATTCAGTATTCCACAAGAAGATCCTGAGGAGGAGATTGTCATCAACTTTGTCCGCGATATGTTGCCATTTGTAAATTAGTTGAGTTGCATTTTGTTCCAACGTTCGTGTGACTTTGAATACGGTTACCTTTTCTGGAATATCAAGTAATTTCACTTTCCATGAGATAATGAGACCAAAACTAGTCCCTCCCCCTCCTCTAATAGCCCAAAAGTGATCCTCACCCATTGATTCTCGATCCTGAATTTGTCCGCTGGCATCGATTAATTTTGCATCAATGATGTTATCAGCAGCAGTACCAAATTTTCGTGACATCATGCTATAGCCTCCACCACTTAAGTGTCCACCAACACCAACACTAGGGCAAACCCCAGCAATAAAGGCCAGTTTTTTACTTTTTTGAGCGATTCTATAGTAAACTTCCCCTAGGGTCGCCCCAGCTTGAATCCAAGCAGTCCTTTTCTCGGTATCAATGGATATTGATCTTAGGTTTCTAAGATCAATTACGACAAATGGGTTCTCAGAAATGTATGAAAGTCCCTCATAGTCATGTCCACCGCTTCGAATTCTGATTTGTAGGTCATGTACCTTGGAGCAATATATAGCTGCCTGGATTTGTGATGCATTCGAAGGTGTGAAAATAATTGATGGTTTGAAGTGGGAGGTTATCCTTGGGTTTTGTGAAAAAAAGGAGTTATAAATGGTTGAATATGATGAGTTCTTTGGAGTGTGGATGACTTGTGATAATAAGGTTGAGTTGATAATTTTGTGAGAAAGACATTCAACAAAGTTATCATGACTTTTGTTAGCCCATGATGATGAAATTAGGCAAATTGAGAGAAAGAGAAAGATTGTTAAGTACTTGCTCATAATTGATTATTTTATTTGTTGTTGAAATTTTGATGATGAAGAAAATGAAAATTAACAACTTGTATTTATAGGGAGAAATTAAAGAAGCTTAGTTTATATTAATTAATTCTAAAAGATTTTCTTTAATTTGTTGTCACAATCAAATTAAAAGATGCACATGCTTCCTCATGTTTAACATGGATTATTCGTTTTGTACTTTCTGATACAACTTTGAATGAGTATGATAATAGTATAAGAAATTCAAAGATAAAATTTCTTTGGACTTAGTGACACAGTAATTTTCAAGAGCAAATAGAATGTGAATATCAGACACTAAAACTGGATAGAAAACAAAAAAACTAATACGCCCTCTATCTCATGTGACTTACTTTTATTTTTAGTCAGTTCCAAAAAGAATAATACATTTTTATATTAAGTAACAATTTAACTATAAAATGTTTATTTTATCCTTAATGAAATGATTTACACACCACAAATTTCTATCATTTATTTTGGATCATAAGATTTAAAAGTCTTCCTTTCTTTCTTAAACTCTGTGTCGAGTCAAACTACCTCACATAAAATGGGGCAGAAGGAGTAATAATTATGACCCTAAAATAGAATGTGAATACCAGACACTAAAACTGGGTAGAAAACAAAAAAATAATTAATAATTATGACCCTAAAATAAAAATAAGAATAAAAACAAATAATCCACGTTAGCCATGAGGAAGCCCCTGCATCTTCCATGTGAATAAAACTAATACTCGTAAAACTATAAATAGAAGTTGTTAGTTTCCATTTAGTCCAACAATTATGACTAAGCTTACAATCTTTGTTTTTCTCTCAATTTGGCTTTCATCATCATATTCATGGTCCAACAAAACTCATATTGATGACTTTCTTCAATGCCTTTCTCACAAAATTATAACTTAAACTCATCACAAATCATCCACACTCCTGAAAACTCATCATATTCCACCCTTTTTAACTCCTTTTTTTCAGATAATCAAAGGATAACCTCAAACGTCAAACCATCAATTATTTTCACTCCTACCAAAGAATCTCAAATCAAGGCAGCTATACGTTGCTCCAAGATACATGGCCTACAAATTAGAATTCGAAGTGGTGGACATGACCATGAAGGACTTTCATACACTTCGGAGACCCCTTTTTTCATAATTGATCTTAGGAACCTAAGATCAATATCCATTGATACCCAAAAAAAGACTGCTTGGGTTCAAGCTGGCGCGACCATAGGGGAACTTTACTATAGAATCGCCCAAAAAAGCAAAAAATTAGCCTTTCCTGCTGGGGTTTGCCCCAATGTTGGTGTTGGTGGACACTTTAGTGGTGGAGGCTATGGTATGTTGGCACGGAAATTCGGTACTGCTGCTGATAACATCATTGATGCAAAATTAATTGATGCTAATGGACAAATCCTGGATCGAGAATCAATGGGTGAGGATCACTTTTGGGCTATTAGAGGAGGTGGAGGGACTAGTTTTGGTATCATTACCTCATGGAAAGTGAAATTACATGATATTCCAGAAAAGGTAACTGTATTCAACGTGACACGAACGTTGGAACAAAATGCAACTCAACTAGTCTACAAATGGCAGCATATTGCAGACAAAGTTGATGACAATCTCCTCCTGAGGCTCTTCCTGAGGAGCAATATTTCATCTCCATTCAAGCGTGGACAAAGGAGTATCAATGCCATATTCTTTACAATGTTTGTCGGAGGAGTAGATGAACTCCTCCACGAAATGAAAAAGAGCTTCCCGGAATTAGGACTAATGAAAGAAGATTGCATTGAGATGAGTTGGATTGAATCTATAATCTTCTTCTATATCGGTTTCCCTAAGGGCACATCACCTGATGTGTTACTAAATTGGAATACCACAACTAAAAAACATTTGTATTTTAAAGGGAAATCAGACTATGTCCAACACCCAATTTCTATAAAGGGTCTTGAAGGTATATGGAAACTATACAACAAATTGGGCGAAAATGCTGGCGTTGAATTACAGTTTAGTCCCTATGGGGGAAAGTTGAGTGAGATATTAGAATTTGAAACACCTTTCCCTCATAGAGCTGGAAATATATTCATGATCGAGTATGCGGCTTTTTGGATGAAAATGGAAAATTCTAAGAGAAGCTTAGATTGGAGTCGAAAACTTTATAGATACATGGCTAAGTATGTGTCAAAATCTCCTAGAGCAGCTTATTTCAACTATAGAGATCTTGATATAGGAGTGAACAATATTAATGGAAACACAAGCTATGAACAAGCAAGAATTTGGGGAGTGAAATATTTCAAGAACAACTTTGATAGATTGGTGAAAATCAAGACAAAAATTGATCCAACAAATATCTTTAGGAATGAACAAAGTATTCCTCCTCTATTATCTTAAGCTTAACTTGTTCTTGAGTTTGTGTGACTATTAATTGTCGCTTAGCTTTTTGGCATTGCCTATCAGTTTGAGTGACTATATATTATCTTGATAAAACTAAATGACCTTCGTTCACTTTACTCCTAAGGATTAGTCCTTATGATATTTTAATATCATGTGTCACTACAATAAAAATATTTTTTAGCGGCAATAAATATACACATTAACAAAGAGTGTTAAAGTCTATATCGGCATTAGTTAAATGTCATTGGATCCAATGTCGCTATAGGTTTTAGGAACATTCACAAAGAATGCTAATTGCCGCTAAGAATACATATTTAACGACAATTAAGCTATTGACATTAATTAATTGCCGCTAATGATCATTTATGTGTAATGTGTTAAAAGTATGATAGGGTCTTGTCCCTGCATGTAGTTTCCAGTTATGTTAGAGGGACTTCATAGAAAGTTAGTAATATGTATTTCAGTTCTTGACTTCCGTATCATTTTATGAATTTTAGTACTATGATATAGGGAAAAATTAATTAACTTTATCAAAAAGAAAATAATCTATTAACAATGCAAAGGACTTCTGTTCATTGTGACACTAAAACATTAATGAATCTGACGGAGTGTTGTAAATCTAGGGGTTGATCAGAGATCATTGAAAATCCAGTCATACTCTTAGTAAATTTATCGATTTTATTATTGAATTATGAATTGAGTTCTGCTTACATGAAACAAAACAAGATTGATTATTGTTATCATTTTTGAAAAGGGCATTTTTTCATTATATTTTTTTATTAATATAAACAGTTGTGGTTAATTGTAATTATTGATTGAGCTAGCGAATCACTCCCTACTATATTATATTACAGAGATCACAAGTAACGTCGATATATAAGGCTTTCTCTAGCTAGAGTGCACGAGTTGACAAATTCTTGGTTAGCAGGAATTGCTTTGCGCGGGCAAGAAATTATTTATTTGATATCATCCTTTTCTTTTAAACTCTTGCTTCATTAGTCATTTCTCTAAAAAAAATTGTTTCTTTAAAAATATGTTTAAAATTAATGATCTTATAAGTATAACTATTGGTTTTTTTCGTAGACAATAATTGCACTATTCAACTATAAAATTTAGGTTCTAGCCATTTAAATATATATTTTTTGTGACAAAATTTCATTGTGGCTAAATTGTAGGTTAAATAGAGACAATAATACAATTGTCTCTAATTGTTTGAACTATTAGTGACAAAAACAAATGTCAAAATAGAATACAAATTTTTGTGGCTAAGGTATACAATATAATTAACTACAAATTATAGTTTGTCTCTAATGTATAAATATTTTTTTGAGAATGAGTTTTTTTATCCAAAATTTAACTAATTTTAGGACAAAAAATTATTTGTCGCAAATGTATCAATATAATTTTTGCGACAAATTTTTTTTTGTGTCCAAAATTTAACTAATTTTAGGATAAAAAATGATTCCTCACTAATGTATCAATAATTTTTTGCGACAAAAAAATTTCGTATTCAAAATTTAACTAATTTTAGGACAAAAATGATTTGTCACTAATGTCTCAATATATTTTTTGTGACAAAAAAATTTCGTATCCAAAATTTAACTGAAGTTAAGACCAAAAAAAGTGCTTTATCACTAAATGGGAACATCATTAGTGACAAAATAATGTGTTAGTGATAACTCTAAACTCGTGACTAATAGTACTCAATATATGGTGTCAAACCATTTTTTGGTGGGAAACTTCAGTGGACAAAACTTTGTTACGAATCTTCACGTTTCGTCACTAAAAGTATGTGTCTCATATATTTAGGCACGAAATATAATTTTTGTCACTAAAAGTGAACAATTAATGGCGAATATCGTAGCTAATAATTTTTGTAGCTATATATCACATTTGTTGTAATGGTTTGTTCTTCTTTAAGAACACCAAGAACACATGAAGAACATAAACAACTCCCAAATTTTCAACATCTTCAATTCTTCATGAATTCATCTCAAATTTCGGCTACATTATTAATTTTTTTGTAAACTAAAATTCTAAAATCATTTGTAGAGATTAAAAAATTCATCCGTATTAAAAAATATTTCAAAAAAATGAAAATCAGTCCCAAAATTTCAAAAAATTGCTTTAGTTCATGTTTTTGAAGTTGTTTTTTGACATTAGATCTTTGTTACCTAGTGTTTTTCGAGTGTATGTTCAAAATTTCAAATGATTTGAAGTTGTGGAGAAAACTCTACAATTAAAGAATGTTGAAGCTTTGAAACTTTGAAGAAATTTCAAGTGGATCTTGTTGAGTTAGGTTGAATCCGCGATAAAAAAATATTGAGTTTTGGTATCTAGCTCGGAAGGAAACTACCCTTGAAATTTGAGGTGATTTCGTGAAGAATCAAATAAGTTTGAAATTTGGGAATTGTTAATGTTGTTTATGTGTTCTTGGTGTTCTTAAGGAAGAAAAAGCAAAAAAGGTACATTTGATCCAAAAACTTCAATTGAAAAGTGTTAAACCTCGTTTGGGGTGTAAAAAGTGATTTGCAAAACCAGAGTTAAAAAATGGCATGGATGAGCCTTTTCTTTAACAATAATGGCATAGATGAGCCAAAC